GTTGACCAGGATGGTCTCGATCTCTTGACCTCGTGATCCACCCGCCTCGGCCTCCCAAAGTGCTGGGATTACAGGCTTGAGCCACCGCGCCCGGCTATATATTAATTTTTTATAATGAGATTCTCCCAGGGTTATTGTGACCCTAAAAGGATTAAAAATCTCTGAATTGCAGATATATAAATTAATCATGTTGGTTTAACAAATTATTTCAAAAATTTTATGATAGTAAACTGCCATTTATTAAGGTTTTCATGTGTTACCTTGCTCTGTGAAGTACTATATTTATATTATCTTAATTCTCTCCATGCCCCTGTGACTCCCATTCTGTTTAAAAGAGTAAACAGGTTTAGGCATACAAATATTTATAACAGACACAGCCTGTAAGTGACAAAATTGAGATTTAGATGCAGATTTCTAATTAATCTATTTACTGCAGCTTCCATTATTAAGGAAAAATAAAATTTGCATGATAAATGGCAAACTGGCAAAGCCTGTCTTTGTGAAAACTCAGTCCCACCAAAGAATACCTTGTATTGTTGTCTACCATGAAGAAACCTTTTTTAACTGTCTCCTGCACCTCCTGCCCCACACAGTTTAAGTTAAAAGATGGTCACAAAAATACTTGCTTTCTTTTTCTTTTTCCTTTTTTTTTTGGAGATGGAGTCTCTCGCTGTTGCTCATGCTGGAGTGCAGTGGCACGATCTTGGCTCACTGCAACCTCCACCTCCTGAGTTAAAACAATTCTTGTGCCTCCGCCTCCCCAGTAGCTGGGACTACAGGCGCCTGCTGCTACCATGCCTGACTTATTTTCTTGTATTTTAGTAGAGACAGGGTTTCACCATGTTCCCAGGGTGGTCTAGAACTCCTGAGCTCAGTGATCCACCCACCTTGGTTGGCCTTCCAAAGTGCTGATGAAATTACAGGTGTGAGCCACCGAGCCTGGCCGATACATGGGTTTCTGTTTAAAAGTAGTTGTAGCTGTTGAGAGAGTACTTGATTTGGTCTGGCTGTGAAATTGTGATAGGCCTATGTATTGTGATAGGCCTATAAAGTAGAGACAATAGTACCTGTCTTCCCTATTTCAGAGGGTTTGTGAAGCTCAAACAAGACATTTATAAATGCTTCAGAAAGTCAAGACATACTTGTAAATGCTTCAGAAGCTTCAAATGAGTAGACAAGGCTGTGTGTAGTGGCTCAAGCCTGTAATCCCAGCACTTTGGGAGGCTGGGGCGGGCAGATCACCTGAGGTTAGGAGTTTGAGACCAGCCTTGCCAACATGATGAAACCTTGTCTCTACAAAAATACAAAAATTAGCCAGGCTGATGGTAGGTGCTTGCAATCCCAGCTACTTGGGAGGCTGAGGCAGGAGAATCGCCTGAACCCAGGAGGCAGAAGTTGAAGTGAGCCAAAATCGTGCCATGGCACTCCAGCTTGGGCAACAGCGCAAGACTCCATCTCAAAAAAAAAAAATAAAGAATAGACAAAAGTGAACATACTTTATAAACTCCAAGAAATGCTTTCATTTGTAATAGAAGAATGAAAGAATGCTGCCAGTTAAATTGGCCTTTAATGATAATACGACACAGCCCAATTTCAGAAGGATAACAATATGGGTAGAAATTTGTGGCCTAGAATCAATAACGTGTGGTATATTGTGTGGGGTATTGTCCTTCTAAAGTTCTACCATAAGCTTCTCTGTCTTTGGAAGTCACTGGAATTTCTTTTATTTTGGTCTCTTTAATGTACTAGGTAGGCTACAAGTTACCAGTTTTACAACTAGATTTCTTTTGTATCCAGTAGTCTTTTTCAGAATTTTCTTGGAAGGTCAGTGCCTTTTGTATTAAGAATTGCAATTTTCTTACTCCAGCAAGATGAAGGGGATGTCCAGACATTCACAAATGGCAAAGATCAGAAGTCCTGGCAAGAATCACAGATGGAAAAACGACAATGCTAGACAGAGAGCAGTCACTGGACCAGGCAGTCACTTGAGTGAGTTGAAGCCAGGAGGTCCACCTGAGGCAAATGCAGATCCTCTTGGTGTTTTGATAAACAGTGATTCTGGTAAGCTAAACAGGAAAATAACATGTTTGTATGTGTATAGACAATGATGCTGAAGTTGATTATTCACAGCCTTGTTTGTGGAAAGTTTAATGTCAAGTGTGTAACAATGCAAAATGATGCATGTGTGTTTTTTTTTTTAAAGGAGTATCTTATTTAAAACGCATTTTAGAACATCTTTTCTGAGTCTTGGTTGGGTACATGGGGCAGGGAGGCTATGGGAGAAAGACTATATTTGCTGGATAATTTTTATTAGTATGATATAATCATAGAAATTTCTTAAGATTGTCTAAATGTATTAATGCTGTACATTCAAATTTGCCCAAATATGTGGATTTTCCCTTCACCTATGAAGCAGCAATTCTAATGGAAGTCAGTATACTTTATGCTACTGAGTATGACCATGATCTCTGTGCAAATAATACTAATTCATTATGTTTGATTAGTACTGTTCTTCAGAGCATAGATTATATTTATACATATTTGTCCTTGAATTTCCTCTGAAATGCATAGGGCAATTTAACTTGCTTATTAGTTGAAAAATGAAAGTATTACAATGCTGCTATTACATGTAGATATCGTTCAGCCTTTGAGACTCCATTTCTCTTTCTGAAAAACTAAAATGTATATGTAAATACTTACACTACCTTTTCTTCCAGTAACATTGTGAGGCTTTACCTAATTGCAAATACTTTGCACTGCAAAGGAATACCCAAAGATTATTAGTGAGTGAACTAACATTACTGACATTGAAGGGTTTGATTGTAGCCTGTTTAGTTTGGATGATGTTGGCTTCTGTGATAATCACATGGCAAGTTTTTGAACTTATGGATGGCAAGAAAAGAGAGGATAGCTACTTTGTTGGCTGAATTTGGATGGAAAAAGATCATGGCATAAGGGAATATTGGGCTAAGTATAAGAAAATTTAATAATATTAATGATTATAAATTAATGTCAACACTTACTGAATAAGGTACTTACTGAGCTCTGTATGCTTTGTATAGATGAAGTCTTCTCATGACAGCCTTTTACACATATACCGTTACTGTTTCTATTTTAGAAATGAGGAACGTAGAGACTAAGTATGTTTATGCCATTGAAAGCAATAGTAAAAATGCAGTTACTTTTGCATCAACCTAATAGTTTATGTTAGTGATTGTGCTCATTAGTGGCAGAATGAGAATTTGAACTTATGAGTCTGACTCCACCAGTACACTATACATCCTCTAAATATGAAGCCTGAATTTGTGTAAAAAAAAATTGTTTGAGTCTAGGATAGTTGAGATGTGGGAGAGAGCAAGAAAAAGGCAGATGATATTTTGAGCCAGTGCTGAGTTTACTCTTGGGCACTGATTGTTGTTGTTGTTGTTTGTTTTCTTTCAAAAAATTTTAGAGAGCGCTCACATGCTTCTTCAGACTTGTAATGTGTGGCCTTGATGACAAAAGACCATCTGTACTCAAATATAAACTTTATGTCATTAAAACACTTAAAACACAAATGTGAAGACTACCATTATAATCAGTAAGTTACTAATTTGAAAATTATATAATTGTTTTACTTTGTGCAATTTTCTAAATGAACACTTGAGGACTCTAAGACTCTGATATTGGATAGTCTTTGTTGTCTTCATTTTGTTATCTTAGCTTTGGTAGATGGTTAATTCTGTTTCCCCTTTTTTTTTAAAAAAAGTATTTCAGTATGTACTAATCTGGTAAAACAACTAAAAGATGATTGTATTTTGCTTCTATTTAAGCTTGGCTAGTCCTCAGTAGGTGCCTTAGCTTGAGAAACAGTGTTAAATCCCTCTCATCCTCATTGATAGAAATAATTCAGTTGGATTCTGAGGAGCAGTTGAAAGAGAGATCATAGGCCAGGCATGGTGGCTGATGCCTGTAATCCAATCACTTTGGGAAGATGAGGCAGGTGAATCACCTGAGGTCAGGAGTTCGAGACCAGCCTGGCCAACATGGTGAAACACTGTCTCTACGAAAAATACAAAAATTAGCCAGGTGTGATGGCACATGCCTGTAATCCCAGCTACTCAGGAGTCTGAGGCAGGAGAATCTCTTGAACCCGGGAGGCAGAGGTTGCAGTGAGCTGAGATGGCGCCATTGTACTCCAGCCTGGGTGACAAGAGCAAAACTTGGTCTCAAAAGAAAAAAACAAAAAAAAGAGATCTCAAATAATTTTGTTTTGATTTAAATGTTGAAACCCTTACCTATACTGAGGGTCAAGGATAGAAACATGCCTTTTTTGAGGGTCAAAGATGAGAACATATATCTTCAATATAAAAATTATCCATATAAGCCACAAGTTCATATAAGCTACATAGATCTTGAATATAAAAATTATCCATATAAGCTACAAATTTATAATTTTGAATATTTTTAAAATTATTAATTTTTATAACATAACCAAGGAAGTCACAATAACAATGATCAAATTATGGTAGCTTCATTTTGTAGGAAAGATGTCATTTAAATTCATGTTATTCTTTACCTGGGATTTCCTCTGGACTTTGACATTTTCCAAATCAGTGTTTTAGACCAGGGGTTCTTAACCCCTGGGCCACAGACTGGTAGCTGGTACAGGTTCTTGACCTGTTAAGAACCCCAGGAAGTGGAGCAGGGATGGGGAGGCAGGGAGCAGCAAGCAAGCAAGGCTTCATCTGTATTTACAGCCATTCTCCATTGGCTGCCTTACTACCAGTGAGCCCTGCCGTCTATCAGATCAGCGGCAGCATTAGATTCTCATAGGGGCAAGAACCCTATTGGGCACTGTGCACACGAGGGATTTAAGTTGTGTGCTCCTTATGAGAATCCAATGCATGATTATCTGTCACTGTCTCCCATCACCCCAAGATGGGACCATCTAGTTGCAAGAAAACAAGCTCAGGGCTCCCACTGATTATACATTATGGTGCCTTGTATAATTCTTTCATTATATATTACAATGTAATAATAATAGAAATAGAGTACACAGTAAATGTAATGCGCTGAATCATCCTGAAACCATCCCCACCCCACCCCACCCCCGCCCCCATCCTTGGAAAAAGTTGTCTTCCGCAAAACTGGTCCCTGCTGCCAAAGAGGTTGGGGACCGCCGTTTTAGACCATAGGTTATTTAACTTTTCACTGCAGGTATAGCTACAGGCAATTTATCCCCCTGTTTTCATATGTCCTAAATCAGACTTGTCCAACCCATGGCCCATGGGCCACATGCAGCCGAGGGCAGCTTTGAATGCAGCCCAACACAAATTTGTAAACTTTCCTAAAATATGAGATTTTGTGGGTTTTTTTTTGTTGTTTTTTTAAGCTTATCAGCTGTTGTTAGTGTTATTTTATGTGTGGCCCAAGACAGTTCTTCCAGTGCGGCCCAGGGAAGCCAAAACATTAGACACCTCTGCCCCAAATATTCTCCACTCTCCAATATATGTCTTCCACTTGAGTGGAGGCATCTTCTCTTACCTTGGGCCAGAGCCAGCCAACCTTAAAATCTGGTTATTCAAGTTGTCAGTGGCAGGCCAGCGGCCAGCATTGTGATAACATGACCCACTGTTCTCATACAGCAGTTGACATTTTTCAGCACTAAGCTCACTTTAAGAATAAAGTTCTCCCAGTTGCTTCCATTTTTTGCCTTTTTCCGGCTCAGAACTTAATCCAGATATGAGCACTCAGATTTTAGACAAGACCGGAAGTTCTAGAGGATCTTCATAAACTTCAGATCATGCTTAGAAAATCCTTGCCTGGGCTCACCTTTTCTTTGTATTTGGTGGGATGTGTACTCTCAGTAATTGTGCAGCTGCTTTGAATTGGGAATTAACGTTGTTTTGATGGGAAAGGCTTTTATTTGGAGTCTCCCAATTTATAAGTTTTGCGTGTGGCTTATTGGCTGTCATTAGATTTCCTTAGTAGCGTATTTTCTATTTTCTTCTGTATTCTGCTGGATGGGCTAACTTAAGGATTGTTTTTTCTTTGTTTGTTTTGGTGTCTCATTAGTTAGCATCCAGTTCATTGTGTTGCCATTGTTTAAATATACATGTGACAAGTTTATGGCTTTCCTAGTCTGTAGTTTTAAATACTGAGTTAGTTGTCTAAGCTAGAAAGAAAGCTGGTCAGTAAGGTGGCATTGAGCATCTGTGGCTGAAGTGCCTCAGCATCCACAAGACAAAGGCAACCCCACTTACTACTCATTTGTTAAAATATAGCTATTGTCGTGGAACACTGGGACATGAGTCTAACTATATGCTCGCATAACCTAGGTTGTTGTAAGGTAGACATTAAAGTAAGAAAATAAGCTGGCCCAGCACATTGGGTGTCATGGACACCCACTCCACTGTTAACTGTCTTCTTAGAGAGTTGGAGACTATAAAGCACAGTCTCTATTTTGAGGGTGACTTTTAAACTATATCACATTTTTAAAAGAATGCTTAATTACAAATCTTGGGGTAGAACATATAATTGTGCTTTGCTCAATAAAGGTAATAGGAAATAGTGGGATGGGGGTTCATGAGGGGGTGGGGGAGATCAATAAAGAAATAAGTTACAGAAAGAAGCCAGATAGGAAGCTTCTACAGCTGGTGTTTAGAATAAACAAGACATTCAAAGGGCAGTGTTATTTTGCTACTTTTCTTTTGGTGGGAATTTATAAGGTCCTGCGTTTGGCTCACCGAGCACTGTAATTGACTAAAATGCCACGGATTTCCAAGGAGTCTCCCTGCCTTCTAAAAACTCATAGTCTAAGGATAATTTTTAGATCATTGCATTAGATTATTATTTTTTTTTTTGGATGGTGGGAACATGATGTGTATATATGAGAGAAAGGGGTGAGATTTACCCTAGAAAAAGTGTCACTAATGTTTTAATGGTAAGAGAAATAGTTTGAGCTAGTATTTTATAAAAATGCTGAAACCTGGTTTTATCAGATCAATTGCTGCTATCTTTATACTGATATTTTCGTTTTTTTTTTTTT